TCATACAATTTTCTCTTTTTGTGACTGGCTCACTTCACTTAGCATAATGTCCTCAAGGTTCATTCATGTTGTAGCATGTGTTAGGATTTCCTTCCTTTTTAAAGCTGAATAATATTCCATTGTGTGTATAAATGATATATCGTTTATCTATTCATCCATCGATGGGCTTGGGCTGCTTCGCACTTTTGGCTAATGCTATGAACATGGGTATACAAATTTCAACTCTTTTGGGTATATACCCAGAAGTGGAATTGCTGGATCATATGGTAATTCTTTGTTTAATTTTTTTGAGGAGCCATCATACTGCTTTCCACAGTGGCTATACCATTTTACGCTCCTACCAACAATGCATAGGGTTCTAATTTCTCCACATCCTCACCAACACTTGTTATTAAGATCATCTTTCTTAACCTCCACATTGGTCAATAAAACAGCTGATAACTCCCAAGTGATCAGTTTTCGCTACTGTATAGAGTAGATACAGTTGAAACTGTGAGCGGGCACCCCACTGAATATCAGTGTTAGGGATGTAATCTTGGAAGAGGCTGATGTCTGGCAGGGCCTCCCTCTGAGCTGCTTAGCGATGGAAGGAACATGGAGAGGACAGAAAACGTGGGAGCTTTTCGTACCTGGGTTCTACTATTTTTCTAGGCATCCATATACTACTAGAGCGTAATGGCCAGGCCTCTTCCTTTTACTGTACTTTAGACTCTGTCCTCATTGGCCTCCTTCCCCTGTGCCCTCAAAAAGATACACGAAACCAGAAGTGAATGTACCTTGAGAGTGCTGACAGGTCAGTGAAATAAAGAGGATGGACAACAAGTTGGGGACCTCCAGAAAATGCAGTCTCTGGGGAAGACGGGCAGGAAGCTGGCCAACTTTCTCCATATCCAGAATGTCACTGTCACAGCAACATATTGCCGCACCTCTGAGCTTCCTGAGTTTTTGTGCTCATCATGGTGGAAATATCCAGAAGGAAGGCACGTATTTATTGGCAAACATGCGCAGAGTGCCTCGCTGATAGGAATTATATCTTTCTATTTGCTTTTTTTTAGAACTTGCATAAGCCAGTTGGGCCTGAGAAGAAACTGAAACCATAAAGATGCTTCAAAAGTTGTAATTTTTAAAAATTAAGGTTGACTGCTTATAAATTTGAAACACCAGGGATTAATACCAAGTGAAGCCTCTAGTAACCTACCTCAGTGTTGGCTTTGGTTTTTCTCAGAACAGATGAGATCATCAGAGATGCCCGCCTGCCATCCAGGCACACATCCTCCTACGTGCATGACCTGGCTTCTCACAGTAGTCTTTTGATGTAAGTGAACTGTTAAAGAGAAAACACACGCACGCAAAGAGTTTAAGTGACCTTTCTTTATAGCATTCAAGCAGAAATAGGCTTTTGACTCAGGTTCAGTGCCCTCGGCTGTGGAGTAGTGATGGAAAGCTACAAGGGTCTGAGAATGTAGGGTGAATAATTTTCATTGTCCTTTAATTTAAATGTGAAGAGTAACAATCAGGTGGTAAAACAAGCTTATAGAAAAGGTGTAAGATGCTGTCCAACTTATTTCTTTCTTAAGAAAACTCCAACTTGTAATTGTTTTTTCAAAGGTGTCTAGGTTATTCAAATATATTTGTCAAATATATTCTCCTATATTTGAGGATTTGTTACAACAAAAGTTCAAATTCTGCCTGATGTAGGTGTTAATTGGTTCATTTTATTAGTAATTGATGTGTATAACGTTAAATCACGTAGGTTTGATTTGGAATTAGAGTGTTGTCAGTTCTTCATACACCTGAAAGGCTAGTATTTCTTAGTCTTGATGTTAATTTGGTGTCAACAATGTAGGAATTTTTTTTTTGTTCTTCCTGGATACCCTACCTCTCAACTCAGTATGAGAACTAAGTGGTTGCCATTAAGTTAGAATTTCTACTTTCATCACAGTAAAGACTCACTCCTAGTTTCACAGCTGTTCTTAGGTCAATGTGATCACATGTCCCCGAAGGAACTGGTTAGTTGTTCATGCAAAGCTCACAGACTTGCAGTACCGTAGGTGATGTCACTTCTGCCCAAGATCTGATGATCAGCTTTGTAGGCCTTTGAACTTGATTTTCTCAGGGGACCTAGAACAATTTGAACTTAAGGGGTGTATTAGGGTTCTAAGAAAAACAGAACCAACAGATCGATCGATCGATCTATCTATCTATCTATCTATCTATCTATCTATCTGTATCATCTCTCTATCATCGAGAGATGTTTATTTTCAGGAATTGGCTCACACAATTGTGGAGGCTTGGTGAATCTAAAATCTGATGGAGGAGTCTGGTTGGCTAGAGAGTCAGAGAAGAATTACTGTTCAAGTTCAAAGTCATTCAGCTGGCAGAATTTCTTCTTGTTTGGAGGAAGTCAGTCTTTGTTCCGTAAAAGCCTTCAAGCGATTGAATAAGGTCCAGCCACATTATGTATGGAAGATAATGTGCTTTACTTCAAATGTACCAATTTAAATATTAATCTTATTCACAAACATCTTCACAGAACATCGAGAATGTTTGACTAAATATCCGGGTACCATGGTCCAGCCAAATTGACACATAAAATTAACCATCATAGGAGATTTTACTAACACTAACCAAATTCATAAGAGACTGCCTTATAAAGCCAAATGCATGTAGCCACCTGGTGGGCCACAAACTTGATGGGTCAGTGCAGTCTCTCCCCTATACTAAAATCTGTAAGGGATGCCAATGACCAGATTAGAAGGTGGCCTGGTGAAAAGGAATCAGACAAGAACAATGGCAACTGACATTTATGGAGCACTTCCTATATACCAGGTGCACTTGCTATATACTAGGTGCTGCTCTAAGCATTTTACATATATTACGCTAAGTACCATTGTCTTCCAGAGGTGATAATCTGGTGCTTTTTTCTCCATCATAAAGTGTTTCTTGTCATTTGGTTAGGACACCCCGCCCCTTGATGGTGGTAGATAGAAATTTCTGAACATCACCCCCAGGTGAACAGTAGTCTCAGGCACTGGACACAGGCAGCAGAATGTGGAATCTAGGGAAACCCAGAATTATGTCATATTAGATAAATCTGGGGCCGAGAGCAAGGGCTGTAAATCAAGCTGGACTAAAGGCACAGAAACTGATGAGTTTTGAGGCTGTGAAGAGGCTAGGCGGATACCCAAACAGATCCAGCAGATTAGGAATGGAAAATAGGGATCTCTAGACTTTGCAGTCAGAGTGAAACACACAGATTATTGAAGATAGAACTTCATGCTTTGCCAAGACTCAGCAAGTTCTACTGTCCCATTGTCTCCCACGAGACCTCTTGACACTATTTTCCTAATCTAATAACGATGTCATCTCTGTGCCCATAGATAGCTACACTTCTCCGATTGAAGGCTTATTCACTTTCTTGATTTATAATTTAATAAATCAAGCTGGACTAAGGGCACAGAAACTGATGAGTTTTGAGAAATCTCTGCCTGAAGGGAACTGTGCCAGCATTCAGTAAAGATCTACATTTTTCTCTTGGCTGAGATACAAGCGAGCCCACGGGAAGTGGTTGCCCCAGAATGGTATCCCTTGTGATCAAAATAGCTTCTCTGCTTCCTCATCAGTCATTTTGGCTCCATTCACCAGTTTGAAATTCTTTTAAAGGTGGAGTAGCCTAAATATGAGATCTAAATGAAATCAGCTCACCCTGCAGCTTTGCTATTGACAGTCCATCGTATGGATATTTGCACACGGTTAAACAAAGATATATGTGATTTGTGGTATTGTTTTGTAAAGTAAAAATCTGGAAATAAAAATACCCAATGAACGCACCAGTTAAATATAGCGTAAATAGCTGTACGAATGGATGCTATGCAGCTCAAAAAATAACGCGTCGTATTTATAGGTACTGACTTGGAAAGATAGTTATGATCTGTTGCTAAGTGGGTATGTATAATATCATTTGTATAAAAGCGTGTATGTGCTAATACATAGCTCTACCATTTTTGGAAAGTTACCTGTGAACTTCTTAACCATGGTGACTCCTGGGTTGTTAAAAGTGAGTGGAGGGAGGGAACTTTTTCCCCTTTAACTTTATGGTCTTCTGTTTGAAACCGATTTGAGATCATATACACATATTACTTCATATACCTATATTGAAAATAAAATGCTCTCCCTATTATTTCATCGCACACTCTGTTGGTGGCAGTTTCCCTGTGTCTTAAACTGTTTCGCTTTGTTTAACTGTGGGTATTCTGGAGAAAGGGGAAAGGGAGGCAGAGGTGGGGGAGAGAAAGAGAATGAAAGTTCATTTAGGAAGAGTTGGAGCCAGCTTTGAGGAATCCTGCCAAAATGGGCTGATGCAGAATGTGCGTGAAGCAGTCAGTCGGTATTTATCTTTTCAGCGTTGTAAGAGTCTTCTGATAAATCTTTCTCTGGAGCTTGCTTCCCATCCCTCTGCCTGTGAATTCATATGGAAATGAACCAAGCTGCCTCTGCCAGCTGATTCACCACCCTCACCCTTTCAACCACCTCGCCCCACCCCTTCCTTTGGTTGGTCTTGCTCATCTTAGAAAAACTGAAAAGGGCTCTTAATTGCACGGAGCCCCTGAGCGCCCTGGATACTGGCACAATGGGACGTCCTGATGTGAATGTGCTCAGCGGGGGCATCTCGGGAAGGCTGATGAGGCATCATCGTCCTAAGAGCAACTTGGCTCGCTTTCTGGTTTTGATTGAACACGTGGGGGAAATGGTAGCACCCACTCAGTTCTAATGGCGGCTCAGACCGACTGCTCTCAGACTTAAAATCCCCAGTTTTCTTGATATGAACCCCCTTCTCCCCTTGATTTGGGTGCCCCGTCCCCAGCTACCTGTTGTCACATGATTGTTAACATGTTCATGTTATTTACTGTGCAGGAGGGAGCTGTGCCATTAGATGGTTTTGCAATCCCAGAGACAGGCCACGTGGCTCATGAATACAGATGGGCCCGCCCTCTGGAAATACTGGTCACGCCTAACTACAAGTTACACGAAGTCACGCCCGGCTCTTACCGCATTGCTATTGTCATAGCTATTAAAGCAGTTAGAACGAATTTCAATGGACCTGAGTTAAAATTAACCTCATTTCTTTGTCCATAAAAAATATTTCGGGATGCGAGGCCACAAGCAGGTGGGAAATGTGCATTTGGGCTGCAGGGTGCCTGTCCTGGCTGTGGAAACACGTTTTTTCAACCGGAAACCAGAAGATCCAGATACCCTTGCCCATTCATCAGGCCCAGATACTGGGTGAGTCATGGGGGAAGGAGCGTAGCCTTTCGTAGGACAAACAATATTTTTTATTCATTTGTACAGCTGAATACACTTCAGTCTGTGTGAGCTTACTTTTAAATTTTCACTTTGGGTGAGTTTACCAGAAAGTTTTGCAACTAAGGACAAGCGGTGACAATAAAAGTCCACTGCAGTCACATTTGTCGTTAAACACAGGACATGTTTTGGGGCTGGGATCTGTTATCCATTTGTCTTATCTCTTTCCCAGCCATCACTTAAAATTTGGGAGACTCCAGAGGAAACTAGAGGTGGGAATGGCAGCAGCTTGGAAGAAGAGAGAGACCTTCAGAGCGAGGACTGGTCGGGGTGTCTGTTCTTTCGGCGCAGTCTTGGCAATTGGCAGAAATAAATTTTAAAATGCCCTCGTTGTCTTCTACCACATACGCTGTTATCTCTCTGAAGCCAGCGACGTTTCCGTATGTTTTCCAATGGAGAACGACTGTAGGACATACTCTCAAACTATTATCCCTTTGCCTCTCCAGGCAGAAGTCTGGTGGGAATGGGTGATGTGTGGGAGGATGGGGAGGGTTTGGAGTGGGACTGAGCTGCCCGAGGATGTACTTGTGCCCAGCAGGATGGGCAGCTTTCACATGCAGAACCCTTCTCCCTGCCTGCCTGGACCCCCTCCTAGCTTCCGGAGGGCCCTTGAGGGTTCCTCTTATGTTACCCTCTGCTTGTACCCCCTTTGGTTGGTTCCTCACCAAGCCTAGCTCTCTTCCTAACTATCTCATCCCTATCCTTTTTCCTTCCATCTTTCCACCCAGCTAAACATCCATGTACTCTGCAGAGACTCAGCTCAACTGGAAATTAAAAAGAAGCAGGTGTTAGGAGAAAACCAGAGGAATTCAGTGAAGAGTGTGAGTGATTTGAAAGAGGAACTTGTGAACCCAAATTTGTTATAATTAGTAAAATAATGAGGAAGAGAAGAGGTTTTCTGAGCAGAGAGGCCAGTTCAGCTCAGTGCTTTTTTGCTGGGCCTCCAGGTACATCCATACATATATCATCACTGTGGTTTTGGGCTTTCCCGAATTGAGATTGGAGCTGCCTCATCACCTTGGAAATGCTGCCAGAAGCTTGAGATCCAGTATTCCTGGGATAGGGACAAGGGTCCTGCATGAGGACCCTGAGGTTGGAGGCCAAGGCATTGGCGGAGTGGGACTGCTTCTTGTCCCAAGGGATTTTGTGGGGCCCGAGGGCTGAATTGTTTAAAGAGGTGAACCACGTCGCTGAGTGGCCTAAGAATGTGGACAACTAACTGGGGGTGCCCGATGTCTTTCCCAGCCGACCAGGGTTAGGTAAGGCAGGGGCATTTGAAAAATGATCTCCCTCCTAGTCGGCCCATCCTCAGCTGATGGGGAAACAGTGACTGCTGTTCATACCACTCTCTCCACCTGTTCCCCTGCCCTAGTTTTGAAAGGTCTTGTCTTTCTCTCATTTCCCCTGCTTTCAGTCCCCTTGGATTCTTCTTCCAGTGGCAGAAAGTCGAGGGCAGGGCTGCATAAAACAATCAGGGAGGGAAGCAAGCCGCTCTCTGCTAGTTTCGACCATCCTTTTCTTCTTTTTGCTTGCTAGAATATTTTTACCTCTGTCTGTGCTTGCCTCTGTGGGAATGTCTCAGCAGACACAGGGTAAGATCTGGTCGTTAATAAGAACTGACTCCAGCTCACATGTACCGAGGCTCTTGATTGCTGAGTGTTTGAAAACAAGAGCATTTCATCGATGCCTCAGTCCCCACGTGAACATTCTAATCCATGACATAGTATTTATCTTTTGCCTGCTTTAAACTGACGTTTGGGGAATAGAAAACATCTTTGGGTATATAGCAACTGGAGAGAACACATACTGAAATGTTTCGGAGTGATTTTTTTTTTTTTTAATACGAGTTTATTTGAGCCAAACTGTCAACATATGCTGGGGAGCAAGATCTCAGATGCTCCCCAGAGTGATGATTTGCTATTGAACTTCTGCTTCCAGGCTTGGGTAGCAGTCGACCCTACATACTGTTTTTACCAATTATGGCAGCTGACACCTTGCTCATCATGGCAAATGTCTCCTTATGAGGACACCAGTCATAGCGGATTAGGTCCCACCCTAATAACCTCATTTTAATTTGATTACCTCTTTAAAGACCCTATTTCCCGATAAAGTCACAATCTAAGGTGCTAGAGGTAGGACTTCAGTGTAGGAATTTTTTTGGGGGGGAGGAGACAATTAAACCTGTAATGGTAGGTAGGCAGGCATGTCATTGATAGGATTAAAAATAGTTGTTTTGTTTGGCGGTGGGCATAGCAGTAAACAAAGGGTCTGCCCTCGGAGCTTACATTCTACTGAGGGGAGACTGACAACAAATTAATATGAAGTATGTTGTGATAAGCACTTTGAAGAAAAATAAGTCAAGAAGAGGGGATAGAAAGTGACTCTGGGCAGGGGGGCAGAGATCTGGATGAGGTGAGGGAGTGAGCCTTGCGAAGGACATTCCAGGCAGAGGGAACAGCAGCTGCAAAGGCTCTGAGGTGGGTATATGCCAGGAGCAGCAAGAAGGTCAGCGTGGCTACAGCGGAGGGAGCAAGGGGTAGAGCTGCTGCACTGTGCGACACTGAGAAGACCGGCAAGAACCAGATTCTGAAGGCCCAGGAGGCCATGGCGAGGATTCTGAATTCTGTTCTAAGAGAGATGGGGTGCTCATTTGAACTAAATAAATAGAAAATGCTTCTTTGTCCCTTTGCAGGATTTGTTCTTTCTCCCTGGCCCCTGTTCCTCTCAGTCTGGGAAGCTCACATTCCTTGGGAGCCCCTCCCTCCACATTGAGAGATAATTCTCCATGGGTGTCTTGATCCCTGGGCACATTCTGAGCAGAGGCTCTGTCTGCCTTTCTTTCTGGACCCTCTTTTCAAGGATGTTTGCATGGTGAACATCCCGAGGAGGTGTAGGTAGTTCTTTCTCTGGAGCAAACGGCAGGCAGGCCTATGGCCCATTATAAAAGATTCAGGTTTCCTAAATTCGGGGTTCCCCTCCTGTAATGCAGCGTACTGAACATGTAGGTGTCATTTGGCCCTCTTCCTGGAATCGGGTCTCAGAGAACTGGCATAAAAAATTTTGATCTGCTATTGCTGGGTCCTTTGTTTCTGACCCAGGAATCTTGTGGGGTTTTTTTTTTTTTTGCCAGCACACATGAAACTGGCAGGGGAACTTGTTAGCTTGTAAAAGAGTCAGATCTTAGATGCCTCCCAGTTCCTGACACCCTTAAAATAGCTTCTGTGTTGGCATCATGGCTGAGATCTTGACCATAGGTCGCTGCTTTGGTGTATGTCTGTGGTTTTAAAATTTCTTTTCTGTTATCTTTGGAGCTTTCTGCTACCCTCCAGTGAAACGTACCAGGAAACTGCTAAGATTAAAACTTCTCCTGTCAAAGTAACGCTAAGAACCCAGATTTCCCCATCTCAGACAGCCTCTCCGGCATCTTTGGGAAAGCCACCCCACATAAAGTTCCAAAAACACTGCGTCGAGCTACTAAAACGCCCCTTTAAAACTCAAACTTGATATCCGGGAGCAATATTAGATTCCTCCTTTATCAGAGACTATTTAGTCATATCTTAGAAAAACATTAATATACCTGTTAATAGTAAGTCATTACAAATTAGTTTTTGGAAAGAATAGGATCCAGGACTGGTAAGTTTTGATTGCGGGGTGTGGAGGAGAAGGCTGGGACAGGGCCAGTGCAGTGGTGGGCCCTGGGCATTGGGGCAGGACTAAAACGTGGAGGAGGAAGAGTGCCGGAAACAAGAGGTCCTGAGAGGGTAGTAGATGATGAATAAAATCTCACTTCAACTGCCTGGTTTCCTTGATCCTTACCATCCCTTCGAGGTACCCTACAAGCTTTGAGAAGGACCAGCGAAGAGAGGCACACTTACTTTCATATATATTTTCAGTCGTTGTTCTGTGTGGAGGATCATATGGAAGAATGAATCTCCTTGCAGGAGCAAGTTTGAAAGCTCATCTTTGTTTGCTCTGTTGCCTGGGGCTCTGGCAACGGGTGTTAAAAAGTAAAACAGATGCTTATTTTGTAGAGCACTAGGAAGAGTGTGACACAGCGGGCGGTTCCTAGGGTTCAGGACTAATTCTGCTACTGTCTCCTGACTCTGCTACTAATTTGCTGTGTGACAGGCTCTCGGGGCCCAGTTTCTCTTCTGATGGAGGGAGGTATGGAGGACATATCTCAAAAGTCCTCATATTTAACTATGGCTCAGCGATATGGCTTTTAACCCCAGACACATTGCGTGTTGTACTCCCCGGCATCTGCATCTTAATGAGCTAGACCTCATACGTGACCTTTGAGTGAGATGCATGCACTATGTCTGGAATGAGGGCTGGGGACCTTTCTGAGAATAAAACAGGTAGACTGGATTCCTCCCTGCCACATTTTCCTCCCCATTCTAAACAAACTATAGCCCACAGGGCACATCCAGTTTTACTGGGGACAGAGACATACCCATTTGTTTACATATTGTCTTTGGCTGCTTTTGTGCTACAGGGAGGAAGTGGAGTAGTCATGACCAGAGACCTCGTGTCTTGTAAACCCTAACATATTTACTAGTTGGCTTGAGGCCATCCAAGCTTTGCCTTTGGTTGGGTGCTCAGTAGACTTGACTCAAATGATTGCATAGATTTAATTTTTCTCACGAAAGGGATACGTCACAGCCCCTTGGAGGAGGGCTTCCTTGCTGATCCTTGGAAGAAGAGATCCTCTTTAGAAATGGAGAGACTCCTCCAGACTTTTCAGTTATGGGTGCAAAAAACATTTTTTTACTTACTGATGATTTTTTCTTTTGAAAAATGACTGTATAATTATTATATGAGATTAGTCAAAATAAAAAAAAAATACACTGTAATTCCCAAATATGATAAATGCGTGAAATGCACCACAGATTAGTGCCATACTACTTTTTCCTTTTTCCATTTTGGGTTTTAAATGCATAGGAATTGTGTTAGGGGCTTCGTTGGAATTAATGAAAGCCTGCCATGTTTACAAGGAACCAGGCAGATGACCGATGAGGCAGAGGTCTTGAAAACTGAAAATGGCTTCCTTATTCAGCATTCACCAGGCAGCTTCCCAATTGGCTTGGCAGAGGGTCATCCATGTGTCTGTAACAGCCAGTAAAGACTGGAGTGGTTATAAACAATGTGTTAACTAGTGAGTGTCCAGGCAATTGCAAGACTGCTTCTGCTTAAGAGCTCGTCTTTCCTTTCTGCTGTGGCATTACATCATATTCAAGGCTTAGAGTAACCCCCAAACACTTGGATTGGGGGGGAGTGTCTGGAGGCTCAGCTGAAGATTATGGGGGAGTAAAAATGGACAGTGAGTGAGATACTGGAATTGTCAG